CTCACTAGTCTCTCTCCCCTACATAAGCAGACCTCATGTAGACACACATTACCAGTCGGCTCCCAGTCTGCCACTGGTCACGAGTCAGTCCCCTATCACTTGCTCCCCTCATCTCATAACTATGTATTCGCCCATCACAGACCGTCCTCATCAGTAAAGGTCTCTGCCACAACATGTAATTGTTTTAAAAAATGACAAACAATTCCAAAAAGCGGCCTGCATGATCTTGTAGACTTCTACAAAAAAGTGAGCGTACTCAATTACTGCACTGACAGGTAGGCGTCGCTGACCAGCTGTTTGACTATGTCGGCAGTCATGCTGTCCTTGTTCACAGTCTCCACAGCGTTGAGAAATCGTCGCTTGAGCTTGCTGGCCGCCTCCCAGTAGCGATTCAGTTGCTCCCGGTCCTCTTCTTCCTCCTTCTCAACGGCGACGCCCACCGAGTGGTGAACCGTTTTCTTGAGCAGCACCGTCAGCCAGAACTTTAGCGAACGAAGGCACTTCTCGCCGAGAAGATGCTTTGGAATGCTTCGCGGCAGAGCACGGTCAAAGAGAAGGGCCAGCTCGAGCTTCTGGGCGTCATCGGTCAGAAGGTGGCTGCTTTGCTCAAATATCACCGAGGAGAGGAGAACACTGCGGCAGATGGGCTCGCTTTCAGGAAGTGAAAGGTCGACCAGGTCAGCAAGCAGTTTGGCCGCCGCTTTGAGAATGTTCTCACTTTGGAAAACAGTCGTCAGATTGGCCAGGTCACTAATGGTCTTCTTGACTTCAGTCAGACGCTTCACCGCCTCTTCAAAGTTCTCGTATTTTTCAAAGCAGCTGATGCACTTGCCATTGAGCTGTGGCTCCTTGTTTTGAGCTGAGCCAAAGACCACCGGGCCATCACATTGGCGACAGCGCAAGTTGTTGCCCATTTTGGCGTCTTTCAGACACAGGTTGCAGTTGCACTGGAAAAAGGTGGTTTAAATGATTGTAAATTCCTGTTCATCAACCAAANTCCTTGTTTTGAGCCGAGCCAAAGACCACCGGGCCATTACATCGGCGACAGCGCAAGTTGTTGCCCATCTTGGCGTCTTTCAGACACAAATTGCAGTTGCACTGGAAAAAGGTGGTTTAAATGATTGTAAGTTCCTGTTGATCAATCAACCAACCAAAGCACAGAGCACTTACAGCAAAAAAGTAGTAGTTGAGGCGCTCCTGGCGCTTGTAGTGCGTCATGCCCTTGCCCGGGCCGTAGGTGATGGTGATCTGCTCACCGGCGGCAATGGCTCGCTTGGTGGTGAAGGTGATCATCCCATCCGTCCAGCCCCAGCTGACGTTGCACTCGCAGGAGTGGTTGATCAGACTGCCCACCAGGCACTGGCAGTTGGCGACGTGACCTCGAGTCGACCAGTCGTCCTCAGCACTCTCTCGGTACTCGTGCCAGCCAAAGACGTTGAAGGTGATGCGTCGCATGTTGACCAGAACTCGACTGGCGAAGGCGACCAGAAAGTCCCGTCCCGGTCGGCGGCTGCGAAAGTGGTGAATCAGATCGAGGAGGACGGCCACCTCGACGGCCACCACGCAGTGCTGTGCATTGTAGTAGCCGTTGTGCTTCTCATCGTGGTGCCAGAGAATGGAGGACATGCGGTACTTCTTCGCCTTCTGCGCTGGGGTCCACTGCTCCTCGGGCACGTCGACGTCCTCGCCGAACTCCGCCAGGTACTGGTCAATGGAGTAGGCGCCGTTGGTCTCCTCCTCAACGTCGAAGGCCTCCAGCGGGCCCATGCGCGAGAAAATGCGGAAGACGTGGGCCGCAGACATGGTCATCTGCGAGCGGGCCAGCGAGGCCAGGCCACACTCGAAACGGTGGTAGACCTGGTAGGCCGCCTGAAAGCAGGCTCGATTGCAGAAGATTGGCTCGGTGCAGTAGGCACTAGTGGTTTTGGAGAAAAAAACAACATTGCATAAGTGATCTGCACTTGACATAAAAAAGGTAAAAACACTCACCAGGGAAAGAACTTGTGCCCCAGGTTGTGATTACAGTTGGCGCACTTGGTCTTCCAGTAGTCCAACTCTAGCACCAAACTGTAGGGGCGCTCGCGCAGAATGACCACGTTCTTGGGAATGGACTGCGTGGCCACAAAGTGACGCCCCACCACCGGCGAGTTGACTATCTTCACGCTAGAGGCCAGCTGGTGAGAAAAGTACGGCTCAGCTGATTTTTGAAGAGGAGCAACACTCATCGAGCCATCGTTCTTCCTCTTGCTCAGCTCTAGTATTTCCCTCTTAAAGTCAGCCAACTTTGCCTTTTGACTCTTGCTCTTCAGCGTGAACTCGCCCAAACCTTGGCTGCCAATCACTTGGTCAATCAGCTCGATGGCAGAGGAAAACTGGTGCAGCAACGCCATACTGTGAACCTTCAACAGCAGATACTTGACACATGGCTGAAGGTCGAAGCACACTTCGGCGCTGTACAGCATCGCCTGGTAGTCCTTTAGGTGAAAGTGAATTCGCCACTTGTGCGCAAACAGACGAACAAAAGCCGTCTCCTGTGGAGAGGTGTGAAGAATGGCCTTGTGCACTGCAGCCAGGGCGGCATCGAGGCGTTCAGTCTTGAAGCAGGTGTCAGCTTCCTGGTAGTACCGGTTCGCCAGCAATGAGGACTTGCGTGAACTGTCCCAAGCTTTGCTGAAGTTCTTTCGAACCAGCTCCTTCAGCTGCTCAAAGGAGATGGCCTTCTCTAGCAGATAGGCAATCCGTTCAGAGTTGCTTTTCAGTGCACCGAACACTGGATCACCGTTGAGGCGAGAGACCAGCTCATATCGTGTACTGGAGTTCATTCTGCGCAACAAGGAGCAAAAAAACACACTTCTATTAATATTGCTTTCATCAAAAAGTAGTCCAAGTTATGCACTTTCAAGTATCATTTTTGAACATTTTTAGAATGTCTGCCAGATGAGTACGAATTCGAAGCCGAAAACAACTGTTTTACTGCATCATCTAAATCTGCTTTGCATTTTTGTTTGTATCAATGAACTCTTTTTTTCAGTCAACATTTTTTTTCATCTACTACTACTACCGCATTGCCGCCGATCGCCCCGTGCACTGTAGTACAGTAGTAGCATTCATTTACTGGCTGCGTCTGGTGTTTTCTCACACACTGTGTGAAAGAGTGCATTCCGAGTACACATTCTCACGTAGGCCACTGTACTGTCTGTCTGTCTGTCTGCACTCCCTCTACCTCTCTATTCCTTCTTTTTCGTCTGTGCCTGTGCCAAGTGCCAGTGCCAAAACGATGCATGGTCAGATGGTCGGCAAAAACTGAACTGCCGGTCTGTCTGTCTGTCTGTCTCTCTGTCTCTGCAACGGGGTGTGCTCCACCAGCTCCGTCCAACGGACAAACAAACAAAGTTGTGTGGAGGCCCTAGGTGCCTGTGTGCCAAGAGAGGGCCGTTGTAGAAGAAGACTTGGCCGTTGGCCACGGCTTCATTTGCCGACGGTCTCTTCCGTCGTTCCGCTCAGCAGCACGCGATCATCCGATCGTCGGTGGAGTGGAGAGAGTGTAAAGAGAGTGAAGTATTCGATCAGCGCACCAAAGTGAGTCCTTTTAAAAAAGTGCCAGTGCCATGCCAACCACCGCTGAGAGGTACCCTGAGAGGATAAGGCATTGCAGTGTCTTTTGAAAGTGCTCCCTTTCTCACTCACTGTCACTTTCCCCAACTCCCGCCTCAAAGTGCCTGCTCCCTTCTTTCTGCACTGCCACTACCCTAATCGACCTTTGACCGTCGTGTATGAGTACTACTCCAACTGCTGC